TTGTTTTGGGCCTCACAATGTCTTTCCCCTATGTTCTCACACTTAATCTGAACTCTTTTGTAGTAAGGAAATAAAATCCAAAATGCCTAGTCCTTTGGCTGGATAATTCAAATAGAAACTAATTCTAAATGGTTATTTTTTTTTCAAGAAAAGCAGTGTCAAAGCAATAATGAAACTGGTCCTCAGTCTCCTAATAAGGCAAACTTTTTTTTATTACAGTTGACATAAATTTAGCCTAAAATTGATCCTTGATATGTATTTCCCCATATCCTGTCCTAACTACTGAAAAACTAAAAACATAGAGCTTTAAGAGTTCAAAATTCCGTTTTGATACAGAGAATTAAGACAAAAATTATTTTAACAGATTTAATAGAATCAACTCAATTAAAGAGATGCTTTCCTTGCTGGCAAAATATTCTGTTGGATCTGCTTTCAGGGCTACAAAGTAACTTCTTAAAAACTTTAGCCACACTTTAAAATGTACATCTGAAGTGCTTTATGAGTTTTAACTTCATACATCATACAAGGGAGAATCAGATTCCCTATTTAGTTGAACTAAACTGAGGTAAGTCCTCTAAAGGTAATAGCCAGGTGCTAAAATAATCATACTTTTAATGTCATTTTCTACCTTCTAGCAAACAAGCAAATAAAATTGCAGAGAACTTATGAGTGTTGCTTTGCTTACGAGACAGGAACAATTCTGTCAATGTAGCGAAGCTGAAATCATGCTCAAAGAATAAAACAGACCTGAACACCATTTTATTTTTTAATAGGCAGAAATATTGTAGGACAGCAATAAAACTAAGTAGATAACTACGTGTCGCATGATTTGCATCACATAGTTCTTCTCCGATTCATTGGATTTCGATCCCTACAACTAATGGAACTGAAACCCAAGAATATTTACAGGGATCAAAATCCACCATATTTGGAGGGCATCCGATCAAAAATCCTGTCTGAGGAGAAACCTTTTCCCACTGTTTATCAAAGAATCCCTTGTCTCTCCTTCAGATTCATTGTGAAGGAAAACTGGCTAAACCTCTTTGGGAAATGTTTGCTTTTTTAAAGTAAGATTTGAAGCAAACAAACAGGATCATTTCAAAAGTGTTGTGGTACAATTAAAAATAATGTGTCATGTGCAATTGCAAGGCAAGTCCTTTCTTTCAGTGTTAATATCATGAGAAAGTAAAATGGCTACTGCAGCATTATCATTGGCAACTCTAGGGTAATCAGGCCAACGATGGTTCCCACCAGTGGTGGGTTGCCCCCGGTTTGCACCAGTTCTATAGAACTGATAGTAAAACTGGTGGGAGGCTCCGCCCACCGACCCAGATGTCATCAAAATGCTTCTGCGCATGCGAAGCAAGCATGCAGCCCTGTTGCAAACCAGTAGTAAAGGTAAGTAGAACCCACCCCTGGTTCCCACCCTCAGCCCGTATATCCATGCTATCTGTCATATAATTGTTTTGCAAAAGATTCCAGGAAGCAGTTCTCAGTAGAAAGCTAAATACCAGTATAAGAAAAAGCCGAATTAATAGAATTCAGAAACTTTGCACAGTCCCCTTTAAAATTCCATGGTGGCTGTTTTATTAACTATTTATTTTAAAGCTATAAACAAAATGATGTAGGATTACTTTTATGGGTATCATCCATCCCTGTTAACTTTCAAACAAACAAGGGTAACTTATTCAACAAATGAATATTGGAATTGCTTGCTTCAGCTTTGCTTCTTCCCTACCACATAGCATGCACAGAAGTTTGTGCGTTTTATAATTTGTCTACGCAACTAACTTAGTCAGCATTCACTTGTCAAAGCATTATTTAGTTCAGACTTTCCTCCATGAGGCGATAGCTAGTTATTTACTTATTTAATTAATTAATTAATTTTGCAAGCTAAAGAGAAAGCATCATGTCCATCTTTACCAATCAACTATTTCAATTTTATTTAAGGAAAGAAAGCTGGATGAAGGTGAAGAACAGTCTTCCAAATGAAAGTACATCAACACAAGCTAGATATTGTATCCTCAACACCCATAACATTGAATAAGATTATATGTTTCTATCATTTGAAAAGAATTGACTGGATTCAGATTTGTAAATGTGGATTTCCACTATCAAAATGAATCATTCTTTTCCAGCAGTAGCTCCTCTCTCTCTCCTCCAAAATTGGCTAGCTCAAGCTTCCATCCTTTCAGAGAAGATTTCTGAGATGAAATGGTAGGAGACTATTTCCTTAATGATAAATGGACACCATTAGATATCACTCTGTATTTCAGTTGAAATATAAGCCTTTCCTGGCGTCTGACAGATTTCTGATGCTTTTCTGATTTTCAGTCCGTGGGTCTAATAAATTGTGAAAACCAACATATCTTACATATGAAAATCAAAAGGCCCTGCTATTTTAGGCTGAAACTGCAGAAAAATCATATAATGTAATTAAAAATAGTTTAGAGAAGATTACTATCTTTTGACATTAAATTAATGTATGCTATTACAAAAAGAGGCCTTGCGAAAAAGGAGGCAGACATGTCAACTGTGGAGATTCCATAAAATCCTGGAACATCCTGAACAGAAATTGTATCATTTGGATGTTAAACAGAACAGTTTAAAAAAGATTTAGGGTGGGAAGGTCTTTATTCCTGATGGGAGGCACAATCTAGGGATGCCAGAAGGGAGACTTTGCAAGAATTTTGAGTTAATAGGTAAAGTTAAAAGTTAAAAGAAAATGCTCGTAAAATGAGACTTTTGAAGATAGTAGAAATATTGAATGTGTATATTTTTGTGAACCAAAATGTAAGCAACACTAGGGAGGTCTGGAAAGGCTTATCTATTTGCATAGGACAAGCAAGTAGAAGAGACATAAAGCAAACATATTTATGTTATATACCATTTCAGTACCGAATAAAGAATAAAGCAAATACTCAACAAGAGTTGCTTACATGTCCAAGATTCTAGCAGTTACTCTTTTTTTTATAGTCATACAAAAACTGAGTGAAAAAAAAATTGCAGGACAGCAGCTAGGCCTAATATATTACTATCTTATGCTGAGATTTCCTCTCACCTTTTTTCCAATGCTTTTCTTTATTTCAAGGACAGGAATCATGATAGTTTTGATTTCTTTTCTCCTTAGTGTTACATAACCGCCTTTTTAAACTCTTGTTATAGGAAAAACACTAGCGTAAATATACTAATATCAACAGTTATGCCAGCTGGAAACAAGCTCCAAGCTTTGCCAAATCAAGGCCGTACAAGGAATTAGTACTTTCTTGCTTTTCCCAAGAAATTGGTCTCTTCATATCATGACAGTCAAATATATTTTGAATTCATAGTTTCCAAACCAGCCAGATGGTTTTGACTTAATGTCAGAGAAAACAATTACATTTCCTGGTACTAAAAATACAATTTAATGATGGTTTCCTATCCTTTTATGGTATCCAGAATCTACCATCTTAGCCAGCTGCCTCATTTTCTGTAATGATAGAGCATGTCTTGGTACTTGTGAACAGCTTATAGGGATGAGTTGTCAAGCTGATTTTTACGATATCTATGGAGAGGGATTGGTTATTATTTTGTTTGACTTGTGGCCTCCTGTATTTTTACATATGAGATTAAAATTGGTTCCAAGCATAACACTTATTTTGCTTTAGCCATAAATAGTCTCCAGAGTAATAAAGATGAAATAAATAATATTTACAATGAATTATATCTAGGCTCTTTTTATGGCTTGGCATTATTTTTATCCTCTCAGAAATATAAAATGTTGTCTTCTCTCACAGATGGAGGAGCAACAAATTTCCAATACACCAATTTATTTGTATCAACAAAGTTTTTTTTTTCTTTTTTCCCTCAGTCTTTTATGTTGTAACGGGAGAAAACAAGAAATATGGAAAAACTTTCATGATTAACCTCCACATACTAAATACTAGAAGAAGAGAAAGACTGTCCAATATTAAAAGAAGAGAAAGACTGTAGAAATTTGATGTAGTTTTATACTCAGACTAGTCAGATTGTTTGTATCTTTACATTTTTTGATTGAGCTGAGGAAGGGAAGCTGTATTGCAGTTGTTGAGTAGAAATGAAAAGAAAATGACTTACCGACCCCAAGTTACATGGCTGACAATGTGAGGCAATGGTGGAGGCTATGGGTGGATGGAAACAACTTGGTGAAGGTGTTGTGTAGTTGCCAAATTGCTTGGAGCTTCAAATGATGTTAACCTCCATAATTTTTACTATTTAGAACCTTCACTTCCGATATTACCTGCTGCTGCCCCGGACTCTATTATATCTTCATTGGTCTTTAGCCAAGATCAAAGGGGCTGTTTGTTTTCTGTGTTGCTCAGTGACTGTGTCTAAGCTTTTGTAACCAGCAAGTAGATGCTAAGTTTTAACAAAACTAACAAAGTTTTCTAGAACAGTGTTTAACAAATCATGCAATAAATTCTTTTTTTTTTTTATCAATATCCAATCTGGAATGCAATTTCTGGTTTTCTCTCATATTCATCCTCAAAATTCTTCCCTTCTAATCACCAAACGTCCTTCCTTCTTGTCACCTACTTGGCAATAGGTAGCCAATGTGAAATATCTCCCCCATTCTTTTATTTAGCCATGGTAATAACAGCAAAGGGTAGGGAATCATAAGAGAAAGCAACATGACAGCAAATCCTGCTCACTACTAACACTGATGATTCTCCTAGCTTGGTAATGAAACGTCTGCAAGAAAAAAAGCCAAGCTCAGTAAATGTGAACCCCTCAGCATATAATTTAGAAACATATAAAAATAATATCCTGATGGAGTTTAATTCTGAGCACATTTTTAATATACAAAGATAAAACCCCTTGGAAAAGCCTTTTTTGTATAACCTAACTGATATTAAGATCATTTATTTATTTGATTTACTGTATAGTCTGTTTATTCTGCCTTGTTGACCAAACAGAAATCAAGACAACTAGAAAAAATGAATGTTTGCTGATGCTGAGATGTTGCTAATTAAGATGCTTACCAGAATTTTTATTGGTCTTATTTTGTCTGCTCTTTACTTGCTCAGTCCATAATGTAGGGTAGCGAGAAGCTATATCTAGAACAATAAAGAACAAAATCAAACTGTTAGAATGGAAAACATAATTGCTACCACAATATATTAATTCAAGGAAATGAATTAGATAGCCGAGCTATCTAATTTCCCCCCTCCCTTTCTCCTTTGCCTTGTTGCAGCCATGAAGCCTCAAAGATGGCCTCAGCCAGGGTTGACATGGGCATTATCATGGTTATAGTCGAACACAACTGGAGGAAAATTTATCTAGATTATTAACTAGAATCTACTTCATCAGAAATAGGAAGTGACTTAGTATCTCACAGAAGAGATTAAAAAAAATAAACCCTGGCCATATTTCTCTAATATCATATAGACAGTTTGTAACAGAACTCAGCTAATATTGCCAAGGCCTTCCCTTCCCATTTCTATAAATTCTCACCTTCTTCATCTCCTTGGGGCTGAGGCTCCAGTGCAGGAGCTGAGGCATCATCTGAATTCAGAATGGAAAAGATTTGCAAGGAGACTACAATTATGAAAGTAAGCTAAATAAGTGCACATATATAAAAAAATGACTGCTAGTTAATAAATTAACAGTTGCAATTTTTTACCACACACATCAAATGAACATAAGAAATTATATGCATAAGTATTTCAAAGCATTTAGACACAGTCTTGATTAAATTAGAAGCATTTATGAGGGTTTCTGTCATGAACAAGAAAATTCCAGTAACCCCATTCAATCCAACCTAGAAATTTCTTATATTGCCTTATAAGTGCATCACATCCATGAAAATGGAAAAAGTGTGCACAAGTCATAATACTTTGAAAAATCACAAACATCTCATATTTGGTTTGATGTATTTATTTACTCTAGGTAGCATATAACCTAGATATAATCTAGGTAGCATATATTTACCCAGAGGAGCATATAACCCAAATGTAATGCTTAGATAAAATACAAAGCAGTAAAAAATATTAATAATTCAAACATGGATTTTAAAGCAGAGCTTTAAAGATTTTGGGACTTGAATTATTTACAAGGCTGACATAACTTAAATGACTTTATATTTAAAAGTCAATTTTTGTTATTTTTATTTGTTCATAAATTGTTAGCTACCTTGAATCCCTTGAATGTGAGATATTAATTGAAATAATGGGGAAAAATGCATTGATTAAAACATACTTTTGACAATATACTTCTGTCAAAAAGAATTACTTTCCTTCTTTTAGTTAGAGATACTTGTCAAAAGAGTTCAAAAGAATATCTTAAAAATCAGATGCTAAGGTACACCTAAAAGGTACAACTCATTTCTGTATGTTCATAAGAAAACAATTCAAATATTTCTCACATATTTTCTATGCATACTACAAACTAGGCTGTAAGAAATGACCCACATATAGACTGCAACAAAAGCAATATTACTATGTACCAAATTTTTGGTTGTCTACACACTCCAATTTGAGGTTTTTAAATAGATAGATAGATAGATAGATAGATAGATAGATAGATAGATAGATAGATAGATAGCTTTCTTCTTGCAGTGTGTTTTTGGTGGCTTCTCCATCTTTCTAACTCACTCAACAAGGGGAGATACAGTATGAAGAGATCAAGAGTGATAACGTACAAATTAAAAGAACAATATATGAGAAAATATTCCTCAAATTATAAAACTTTGTAAAATAATGCTTTTATCATTTACATCTAAAAAGCAGGGTTGGAAAATGTTGTGTTTATTTGGTTAATAGTCAATTCTAAATAAAAAGCCATAAATGTTCACCTTATTCTCTAAAGAAATGAAAAATGATGCCTTTTAAAAATGGACATTGCACTTCTTTGTGTTTTAAAAAAGAAAGTAACTGCATATGAATTGCATATATCATTTACAAAATATATCTGGGCACTCCCTCAATAATATTTTACTTGAGTCTTCTGTCCCAATTGTCCTATGAAAGCTGAATTAGCAATAGTACTTAGACTTATATATTGCTTCATAGTGCTTTACAGCCTGCTCTAAGTGATTTACAGAGTCAGCATACTTCCCCCAACAATCTGGGTCCTCATTTTACCGACCTCGGAAAGATGGAAGGCTAAATCAACTTTGAGCCAGTCAGAATCGAACTCCTGACAGTCGGGAGAATTAGCATGCAATACTGCATTCTAACCACTGCGCCATCATTGCTCATATGTTATTTTTATTCTGCTAGTAAGACAATGTTGAGATGCTGATTATTCCTAGAAGAAGGTGGTCATGTCTAAGATAACTATCAGCCTATGGGGTTTTACAGTTCTCTATTTTATCTATTTTTTTTCTTTCTACTTTGGGAATGGATACCTATGGAACTTCTAGTGTTGTTAAAAATAAAACAAGAAAGTCTAGTTGCCCTTTGGAAAAATCACCTTTTGGATGATTGTGAATATCCATAGACAATGGGAGTTACAATTTATCTGTATCTCAGGAGGCATCAATTTCCCTTGTCTACTCAACCAGAAAGTTTTCACTAGTGTCCTTAATGGTAGATAACATACCCCACAAAATACATCATAGTCATATCGTTATCAAAATCTTCTCTGTCCAGTACTATACGACAATATTGTGTTTTGCAGTTGGGCTAATTATCAGTGGAATTTGTGACCAGAGATGCCGTAAGTAATATTGTTAGTAATCTGTGGGAGGCCAATGATTTTTCTTACCTAAAAATTGAATTACTGTATTTAAATAGACAATTCCATTAGATAGGATGGAATATAATTCCCAGTGTCAGTCTGACTGGATTTTAAAGTAGCTCAATTAATAATGATTGCTTGCCAGAAAAAGCTCAAATTTAATAATGATAGGATAGCCAGTAGACCTAAGGAATCTTTTAGGCAAAATATAGCTGGTTTTCACTCCTACCGTTTGAATGAGGAGTCAGCTGTCAAAGTTCTCATGTATTTCATGTAACTACTGCCTAGTTTTCTCACCTAATGTCCATGGAGGCCATCAGCACTATCCCATTAACTTCTGCATGGAGGGGCAAGTAAATAGAGAATTATCTGCACAGAGCTATCTTGCTATCTCCATTACATCTAATGGGATTCTCACCCTGTAGCCCCACAAACAAGTGGACAGTCTGCATAGCACCAGTGTTTTAAAATGTAAGTACCAGAAGAGCAATCAAAACTGAATACAGCAATTCTATGTATGATTCTTTTCTATATGGAAAAGAAAGCTCCATGCAACCCTAAAGCAAATTATAGGCAACTAAATAAGCACTTTCTGTACTTTGAAGTTCTAATTCCATTTTTAAATATTTGCATCCATGTTTTAAAAGACCGAAAATATAAGGAACATGTAAGAAATATAAAGAAAATATAAGAAACAACATGACTTGATTTCTGAAAACCTTTTCAATGTAAAAATGCCCCAATCTTTCAGAATCTATGTTGGCTTTGTCTGGTCAACTGGGATCCCAGTATGACTCTTAAGTGTCATTCTAGATCAGGGGTGTCAAACTCAAGGCTCGGGGGGCGGATCCGGCCCACGGGGTGCTTAGATCTGGCCTGTGGGACTGCCCTGGAAACAGCAAAGGACCGGCCCGTGGTGCCTCTGCCAGTGAAAATGGAGCTCAAGAGGGCCCTCCTGACCTCCGTTTTTGCTGGCAGAGGTTTGCAGGAAGCCGTTGCAGCTGAAAATTTAGCTCGGGAGCCTGTTTTCACTGGCAGAGCGCTCAGGCCACCACAGGTGCACCGAACATGAGTGACATTGAGCTGGCCAAACCCCGCTGGCCATGCCCCCCAGCCATGCCCCTCTTGCCCAGTAGTGGGATTCAAATCCCATCGCCACCGGTTTGCTCATGGGCGCTCGTGTGCTCATGTGTGCACGCAACGCTTTTGCGCATATGCAGAGACATCCGGGCAGGTGGGTGGAGCCTCCCGCCACCGCCACTACCGGTTCGCCCAATCTGGGGCAAACCAGTAACAACCCACCACTGCTCCTGCCCCTCCCCAAGGTCAAACACAATCCTGAGGGCCAACCCGGCCCTCATTGAAATCAAGTTTGACACCCCTGTTCTAGATATTTAAGTAATGAGGTATTAAACCTTAACAGGCATTCTGCCAAGCTTAAATAAATATGAGTTGCAGCAGCTGGTCAGCCTCAGAAACAACCAACACACAAGCAGAACCTTGCTTTAGAAAACATTCAGCTTCACACCTGCTTTTGTTCCCCTGTGTCTCAAACACAGCGTGCAGCTGGAGGCTGGTGATAAGATTTCTTTCTTCATTGCTCCTCTGACTCAGCACTCAGGCAAAGTTTAAAGACTACATAGCATATTTAGTACTTTGCGTTGTACTAAAAATTCTAATTTATGACCTGTATTGAGTTTCTTTAGAAAAGCTAATTGACATCTGGAGCTGACATATTTGCCTAGCAAATGTATGAAAGAGCAATTGCCCTCAAATAGCATATATACACAGCTCACATTACTCAGTTGAAAAGTTACTTGTGTTTTCATATGAAATGGTTAAGGGTGCTATGGTTCCTATAGGAGCATAAATCAAGAATAGTTATGTAATGTTGAATTGACATTACATAACTCAGCTTTCCTGAGCTTGGGCACTTCATTGCAAATCACTAAAGCAAATAAAGAAAAAAAGAAAATGAAAAAACTAAATAAACTTGAATATATATCCCCATTAATCTTGGGCATAATTCTACCAGCTACACTGGAGGTAAACTAGTCCAGACAGATATATGAAAGATCTTAACATAGACAGATAAAATGTTATAAAGAGATAACATTAATAAAAGAAACTGGCTCTGAATATAATCCATCAGTTTAATTTATTATAATAAGTCCTAGCCAGAAATTTTAACCTCCATTACCAGGGGACTGAATAAAAGAGATCTCTATAGTTCAATCTTAAGTAGAGCAGATTTTAGAAAAAGATGCAGAATGGTTCAGAAAGCAGCAGCCAAGAGTTTGTTAAGTTCAGCACAAATCCAACTGACTGTGAATGGTATGTTTGAATTGTAACAATTCACAAAAAGAAAATAGATACAATGAATTTGGGCATGGAGGACTGAATGAAACTGAACTTGATAGATTTCCCCAGTCTCTCTTTATTTGCCAAACCATTATTACATCCTGTTTCTGTTACAACTTTTAAAAATACCAATTCAGCACTAGAATTAATACATATAATTATGTACATTTTTCCTAACATGCACCTGTAGGCATATTATTTTGCCAACATTTTTTTCCAGTCATAAGTTTTATAGCTATACACAATGTTACACACATATAGGCATTTTACCTATATTTTTAAATGGCAAAATAAAATTAAGAGACGCTGAAAGAAAACTTCATGTTGTACACATATTATTTCAGGGACTACAAATTACTTAAATTCCCATTAAAATGCAAACTAACCTAATTTATCCCTTTCCCTAGGAGGAGGGGAAGGAAATACTCATGATCCCATATATCAGAATTGATCAGAATCCCATATATCAGCATATGTGCTGAAGTGCCCATTATCTCTCACTACTCACCCACATTGGCTAAGGTCAACAAAAGCTCCATCTTGCCTAACTCCGTCTTATATGAAAGATAAAAGTTTCCCCTTTTCAGTCATGTCTAACTCTATGGGACGGTGCTCATTTCCATTATTTAGCTAAGGGAGCCAACATTGTCCAAAGACCCTTCTGTGATCATGTGGCCAGCATGACTATATGCCAAGGCACCTGGAACACTATTACCTTCCCAATGAAGTGGTACCTATTTATTTACTTGCATTTGCATGCTTTCGAACTGCTAGGTGGGGAGGAGTTAGGGCAAGAAGGAGAGCTCACCTCATCACATGGTGCTCAGGTCTCGAACCTGGATTATCAACTTTCCAGCTGACAAGCCCAGTGTTTTAACTGCTAAACCATCGTCCCCCCTGCCCTATATTACAAGACCTATAAACCGGTGGTGGGTTTCAAAAAATTTTACTACCGTGTGGCTTGGTGGGCGTGGCATGGCTTGGTGGGTGTGGCTTGGTGGGCATGGCAGGGGAAGGATACTGTAAAATCTCTATTCCCTCCCCACTCCAGGGGAAGGATACTGCAAAATCCCCATTTCCTCCCGATCAGCTGGGACTTGGGAGGCAGAGAATAGATGGGGGCGGGGCCAGTCAGAATTTTTACTACCGGTTCTCCGAACTACTCAAAATTTCCACTAACGGTTCTCCAGAACTGGTCAGAACCTGCTGAAAGTCACCTCTGCTATAAACCCATGTAAAAGCTTAGAAATCCATGAGCACTCCCCTACTAGCCAGAAGTGCTAACAAAGCCTTTGACTTTTCTTTGTATCTCAACAGAACATTAACAATTCACAAAGTGAGCCTGTTCCCTTTGAGAAGGATGGGGGGAAAAGAAAAAAAGAAAAGAACAGAAAAAGATAGCATGCATCCCTTGGAGTGGAATATTGAGTCCTAACTCCTAAGTGTAAAAAGCCTGGGTTCAAGTTGTTGCTTTGAATCCCTCTGGACAATTTTTAGCCAGTTACTCTGTAATAGCCTAGGGCTAGGCTATCTTATTAGGTTGATGACTTCTAAGTGCTACCTCAAGTTTCCCCAAGAAATAGCCAAGTCCATGGTCTCTCTGAGCTTTCTTGAGACATTTCATTATACACCAGGTAACATCATCAGTGCACAGATCAATAACCTCCAATTTTAAGTGCAATGCAAAGGAGCCAATGTTCTTTTTCATCTAGATATAGCCAAAAAAAGTATTTAATCAAGGAAGCATGTACCATTGTTCTCAGTTCATACTGAAATATATCGAGGAAAAAAATCAGATAATCCAAATACTTCATTAAAGGATAACTCCAAACTTTTATAGGAATAAATGGTGACAGGTCTGAGATTAATCCTAAATTTAATAGCAATAGCATTTAGACTTCTATACTGCTCTAACAGTGGTTTACAGTCCTCTCTAAGTGGTTTACAGAGTCAGCATATTGCCCCCGACAATCTGGGTCCTCATTTTACCAACCTCGGAAGGATGGAAGGCTGAGTCAACCTTGAGCCTGGTGAGATTTGAACTGCTAAATTGCAGGCAGCCAGCACTCAGCAGAAGTAGCTTGCAGTACTGCATTCTAACCACTGCACCACCATGGCTCTTAATAATGAAATAAAAAGCCTGAGTTGCTTTTTTTGGGATCCACGGAAATATATTGAATCTGTATAAAAGAAAACAACTTTTCCTATTTAATGGAGACCGATTATACATATATAATCTACAATATTAAATAGTATGATATTTACCTGTTTTTCCTGTACCTTCACGCTGTGGCAGTTTCTCATTTAGAGACCCTAAAAGTAGAGCAGAAACAATGTAATGTAAGAAGCATTGAAAGTATTGGGTTGTGTTACCAAATGTCAAAGGCAGCAGGCAAATCACTGTTTAGGCATTTATTAATATGGAGAAGAAAAGAATAAGGCTTTTATTTCATAATGTGTCATTCTATACACTGTAAGTCCCTGGGACTTACAGTGCTCATCAGAAACTTTTACAAAAGAAAGGAAGACATATTGCATGTGCATTGTATTTTAAGATATTGTAGGGGGAAAAAAACTTAGTGAACAATACCTTTCAGCAATAATTGAACACCTGTTTCAAAAGTTCCTTCTCTTTCCCAAAGGCTCATTATCTCTGGAATTTCTTTTAGCTCCCTAAATTTTGATCTCTTGACTTGGGAGTAATAAAAATGTCTGGGTTGCATCTGGTGCATTTCAATGAACAGTTTGTGGAGGATGGGAACATTTAACTTTACGCAGCCAATGACGCTGATCTGCTTTAAGATGTATCTCTCGAGTTGTCCAAGTGCTTTCACAATAGTAGACTAATGGCTCATGGAGAGGTCTGCCTCCCTATTATGAGTTACAACACAACAATGCTTTTTATCCGATTGTACTTCAACAGAGAGTACATAAGAAAGGAAAGCATATAAATAGGTTTAAGCTGAAAATAATGACAAACAAAAACTTCTAGACCAAGTGTGCATTCCACTCCCATTTAGCTAAATTTCCCGAAAAAGTGTTTCTTTCAAACTGCAACTGGACTTTTTAATATTTTTTCTTGAAGACATTTCACTTCTCATCCAAGAAGCTTCTTCAGTTCTAATCAACTGGTAGGGATTAGGTTGACTCTGCCTTCCATCCTTCTGAGGCCATTAAAATCAATACCCAGATTGTTGGGGAGCAATACACTGGCTCTGTAAACCATTTAGAGAGGGCTATAAAGCACTAAGAAGCAGTACATAAATCTAAGGGCTGTTGCTATTTATATTCCCATTGTAAACCCAGATGGTTTCAACAACAGAGAGTTAATAACTAGCTATACTAGAAAGAGTATAAATCTTTTCCATTTCCCATCAGTTAGTTAGAATTGAAAAAGCTTCTTGAATGAGAAATGAAATGTCTTCAAGAAAAATCAAGGAAGTCCAGTTGTTGGAGATTTTTTAAAAAAGGACTTTTGGGGACAACCATGGATGACTGAAAACCTCCATATCAGGGGTGAAATCCAGCAGGTTCTGACAGGTTCTGGAGAACTGGTAGCGGAAACTTTGAGCAATTTGGAGAACTGGTAGTGGAAATTTTGAGTAGTTCGGAGAATTGGCAAATACCACTTCTGGCTGGCCCCAGAGTGGGGTGGGAATGGAGGTTTTGCAATATCCTTCCCCCAGGAGTGGGGTGGGAATGGGGATTTTGCAGTATCCTTCCCCTGCCATGCCCAGCAAGCCACACCACACTCACAGAACCGGTAGTAAAAAAAATTGGATTTCACCACTGCTCCATATACAATTATCTAAATGGTTTTACCTGGATGAAGTTGAAATAGTGGCAATCAAAACAACCAGGAATGCTATTTACAAAGAATTACACTACTGCCAGCATACAATCTGATACAAATTATCAGAGATTTCAGTCAATTGATAAACTACTTACCAGAAGCTTGAATCAAGAAGATTTGGATTAGTTATAAAATATGGTGGGTGGTCTAATGGGTATAACCTGAATAAATCTAGTGAAGATTCAATGAGACCATCAAACAGTGAATAGCCAGACAGTGGTAATAGATAGGAGTATTGGCAGTGCCCAATAATTAAGAAAGGAAATCCAAAAGATTCGAGTCTTAGATAATGCAGTTGGTGATTAATTATTTTGTAAAAATTTAGGCTGGAGGTATGTAAGCTTTTAAATAAGCTTTTTTTCTTGCTCTTCAACTTTAAAGTTTTTTTTTTTTAAAAAAAAGTCATAATCCAAAAGAGTGCAAGAAACACAAAAAGTATAGCAATTTAATATGCACATACTTCCATCTAAATAAATAGTTGCCTGCTACAAAATACCATCCTGATAATTGAAATTCCAATTTGTGAAAGATTCCTTTCTATGTGAAATGTGTGATCCAAAAAGACACACGTCACAAGCTCCTGTTTCATAAAATAAGTTTTTGTTTATCAGAAATCTGTGTGAGTGGCTTCAATCAAATTTACTTTACAACTTGTGGTTGGTACAAGTTACCAGTACATTATTCTAGTTACACTTTGCAAAAATACCATGTTCCGAGTAATCTCCAATGGTCAAAATTCTCTCCAATTCACACTAAACCTTGGCTACATCATGCTCATATGTGGATTCAAAAAAAAAAATCTTCTAAAATATGCTGAATTTACTGGAACTTATTTGGTTGGAGAGGATTGCCTGCTGTTGTTAGATCTTCCATTTATTGCCTTTGGGGGGAAAATCCTTCAGATCTGGAAACCATTTTATTGACACATCAAAGGAATTACTATGGGCAAGGGATTTATTAGGATAACCAAGGCTATTTCTTCCCCCAAACCAAACCAAAACCCCAAATTGAAGGAAACTGTTTCCTGACGGAAATACAGCTGCCATCTAATATATTGAGAAGCCATGTTCCTCTCTCCATCAAGTGCCACTTGGCAACAGCCATTCCATCAGGCTACAGAAGAGAGAAAGATGGATCAAGATTAGTCCATTAGATCAGTGGGAAACTTTACTTTTTATTTATTGATTTCTCTCCTTCAACTGCTTTCTGTTTGGCCTTTAAAAATATTGTAACTAAGAATTAGTGAATGAGATCATTTTCCTTTCTTTCCTCCAGATCGCTTTCTCTATTGGAAATATATCTTTTAATACTAGATGCTTGTGAACATGGACAGTTTTACTAATATATCAGCCACTTTTTTGGAGGGGGGGGTGAAGAAAAGAGAAGATCCATAGAGGTATCAGAGGGGTAAAGTGCAGGATTTAGTCTTGAAGTTCTTATCACTGTTTCACTGGGAGTGATCTGGTATAGAATGGTATATCATGGTATAATGTTGTTAAGGCTTCCCGTCACATTTGATTAGATACATTTATATGCTCCTTTGTTTGCAATGATCAATTCCACCTTTATACCTGGCAGACTGAAAACAAATGAGTTAAGAGAACAATAAAATTCCTTCACCATTTGAGTTGGGGCAATTATGATTCTGATGAACAATCTAGCAAACACTGAAATGTGGCTGCATGATATCTATTTTATAGATTGTGGGCTTATACCTGATAGCCATGACTGTGTGCTTTCTTGCTCCATAATTTGCATAAAAATACTGATGAAAAACAAACATTTTTTTTTCTCCATGAAGAGTATTATGCTGCCTTCTTCCATAGCCCTTCCTGAACATGGCCCTGTTTTACTTATCCAAATATTCAGCTGTTTTAATAAGACAGGATGCACAGGGCCAAGCCTGCAGATGACCAACCATGGTCACTTGTCCAAGAATCATGTCTACATCTAAAGGATCACCAAACTGAGTTGAGTACTGTACAATATAAAAATACAATCTATTAATATATAATTGAAATATAGATAGAGATAGATTATAAAGAGACAGAGACAGACAGACAGACAGAAAGACAGAGAGAGGCAGACAGACAGACAGAGAGAAACGGAGGAGGGAATAGTATTTTACATTTTCAACTCACTATTTTTTTCCCACCTGATAAGAGGTTTTTTAAAATATTTACTTGGAATATTGAAAGCACACCAATGGTAGCAACAGAACCGCAATACTATTAATAATAGTATCTGAGACAAATCTGAATGTGGGTCTAAAACTGGAAGGAAATGTACACTGTTTTAATTAAACACCGTCTTTCAGAACAAGAATTAAAGATTGCTGTTTGGAACTTATACTTTTTTCTCCCCAAAGTTGACATGTGATTCTATTATTTCCAGATACAATGCTCAATATAACATGACACTTATAAGCATTCCCATTGCTGATCTTCTAAGACCATATCTTTTTTTCTTGAAGTTTATCTTACATGTTAACAGTATGTACATCGACTAGGATTCCAAATAAAACTAGTAAATAAGAAATAGAAAAGGAATTTGGTCATACAGCATTCAACTCTCACCAAAATCATCTTAGTCTTCAGTCCCAAAGATTTCTTAGGATAAACATTTTGCTTCAATACTGTAAACAACTGTGCTAATAGGAACAGTTATGAACTGTGCAGATCTCAAATTATTTGGGAAACGTCTTTTTATTTAGTATTATGCTTGTTGATAAGATAATATTTATATTAGTAGTTTGTAATCCACAGAAGCTATCATATGGTGGACAAATATAATGTTTTCAATCAGTGTCTTATAAATATTGATAACATGATATCCAAAGAGCAAATCTGTAAAGGAACCGTTCTGTATTGCAGAACTGAAGCACTATAATGGGAAAACTTTTTCTTTTGAGGAAACCAAAATATGGATAATTGCCACATGAATACAAGATGATCCAAAACTATCCTGTTTGGAAACTGTTTTGTCCTCAGCAATTTTTTTTTCTTTTCTTTTCTTTTCTTTTCTTTTTTTTTTTTTGCATTTATAAAAATGCCAATTTTGTACTTAAAAACAGTAATATTGGAAAAGTCAGACATCTACAAAACAGTCAGAATAAAATATAGGTTTACAGGCATTAGTTTGGATTGAAAATCTAAAACTAACTTGGAGAACACTAATCCTCTATTCATATCCAAACGTCTCCCACAGAATAATTCCCCTGTCATTTTTTATGAATGCACATAATTCACCATAATAAAATTTATGCCAGAATCCCAAATATAGAATTGCAGCCTGAATGTCATACTCAGGTCATTTGAATTTTGCACTGAAGATTTATTAAATTATACTTCTTAAAATAAGGTCAGCAGGAAATTGGTTTATTGTTTTAAAATACACTTATCTATTACTCTGTGACATAAAGTTCATGGCTCCACTAAAATGATAGGAAACGAAACCTCACAGAAACCAAGAAGAAAGTATAATAAATCTAATGTGCTGTGAGGCGCCAAAATAGCCAAAATATAAATTAGACTATTGCAAGTTCTCTACTTGGTCTACTTTTGAAAAGTATCCAGATGTTGCAACTGGTGTAAAATGGGACAGCTAGGTTGCTGATCAGTGGTATGATGCAGGGAACACATACAATTAAAAAGAGCCTTGGTAGTACAGTGGTCTAAGGCACCCTGTTATTAAGCTGGTTATTAAGACCAGCTGCCTGCAATTACTGCAGGTTCGAATCTCGCCAAGGCTCAAGGTTGACTCAGCCTTCCATCCTTTCTAAGGTAGGTGAAATGAGGACCCAGTTTGTGGGGGCAATAAGCTGACTTTGTATAAATATACAAAAAGGATGAAGGCTATTGCTGAGCACATTGTAAGCCGCCCTGAGTCTCTGAAGAAGGGCGGCATATAAATCAAATTAAAAAAAAAAAATTAGAATTGAAGGTCATCACTGGTTGGAAATCGTTAGCCAGGCATGTGGTAAGGTGCACTTTCAGAACCCCAAATGGCTTAGCAGCTATCTATCTGTAGGTTCACCTCTTACAAATCTGCAGCAGTGGCCTTTCTGATTTCTTTTTTTAATATGAGTGTGTGTGCACATGCACAAAGGCCCACTTTTCACACATTGTTGATTCCTCTGACTGTCTGAACTAGCCCTATGCAGTTTTCTTGGCACAGTTTTTTCTGGAAGTGGTTTGCCCTTGCCTCCTTCCTAAAGCTGAGAGACAGTGACCAGCCCAAGGTCATCCAGCTGGCTTCATGACTAAGGTGGGACTAGAACTGGTGGTCTCACGGTTTCTAGACTGAGCATCATCTGCTATACCAAACTTGCTGGCTGTCTGGCTGGCTCTCTCCCTCTTTCCCTCCTCTCCTGAGGTTAGAGAGTCATTTACCTGACATTCAACTATGTTGCTCCCAAAGTGGAGAATGCATTCAGCCCTCACTTAACAGAACAGAACAGAACAACAGAGTTGGAAGGGACCTTGGAGGTCTTCTAGTCCACCCCCCTGCTCAGGCAGGAAACCCTATACCATTTCAGACAAATGGTTGTCCAATCTCTTCTTAAAAACTTCCAGTGTTGGAGCATTTGTAACTTCTGGAGGCAAGTTGTTCCAATGATAAATTGTTCTAACTGTCAGGAAATTTCTCCTTAGTTCTAGGTTGCTTCTCTCCTTGATTAGTTTCCATCCATTGCTTCTTGTCCTATCCTCAGGTGCTTTGGAGAATAGCTTGACTCCCTCTTCTTTGTGGCAACCCCTGAGATATTGGAACACTGCTATCATGTCACCCCTAGTCCTTCTTTTCATTAAACTAGACATACCCAATTCCAGCAACTGTTCGTAATATGTTTTAGCCTCCAGTTCCCTAATCATCTTTGTTGCTCTTCTCTGCACTCTTTCTAGAGTCTCAACATCTTTTTTCCATCGTGGCGACCAAAACTGCATGCAGTATTCCAAGTGTGGCCTTACCAAGGCGTTATAAAGTGATATTAACACTTCACGTGATCTTGACTCTATCAAGTAAATCATTTTACTTGACAATCTTTTATTTCTTAATTGTTAATTGTTCAGTACACTTTGGAATTATCTCTTTTTGCATTCTACGTTTTATTTGTTGTCAGTAGAATCAACGGAATAGAAAGGTACAATAATAACCAAATACTTAATTTGGCAGGTTAGCTTCTGTATCTGGATACTTTGATTCAGTATATTACGATAGGCAATAAGGAAAAGGAAGAACAGCTTCTGCCACAATAATGCTTATATAGTTACCTGGACAACGTGGAGTTTTATGTGCTACAGCTGTACCACTGATTGGACGACCATTAGGGGTGACACACCAACAGTAGCCTGTGTAACTGTGGCACTGAACCTGTGAAAAAATGTCAAGTATTTGAAACTCGCAGAAAATAATATCTCATTTTTCTTGAGAGATAGTGTTGATTTTTTTCCAGTTAGTATCTATATCTGTGGCACTACCCTGTAAAAAAAAAAAAGGAACCATCCTTTCCACACTTTTGCAAAATCCATGTATCATATCAAAATCAATAGGCTCATTTGTTTTTATGGGCTATATTAAATGGTTGTAGCTTGAAACTTGAATGAGAATAGACAAAAGCTGAACCCCGTGATCTGATTGCGGAATAACATAATAATATTTTCGGTGGATATTCAGTGACAACTCATTCAGTCATTTTTTCCCCCTAACTTGCATGGATAGAAAAATATAATGAGTTGCTTGTTCAACCAGAGTTGAGTGTGTTGAATTTCAATTTCAAATTGAGTCACAACCTTTCACAAATTAATATAGTATGGTGATGTAATATGAATTAAGCTTGTCCATTTCTTTTCGTCAGCGTGAGGGAATACCAGTAAAGAAATATTTCTCCAAAAACCTGCCGCTTTAGAGCACTCTTCTCTTATTTCCCTTATTTCCAAAAGCACAAACCAATGGTGGAATGAGAACTAGTTTGCTTTAGTGTTTATGAAGTTGGACAACGAAATCCCAGACTTTGGTCCACTCCAGACAAAAACAACTCTCTGGATGACTTTGGGACAGCTATTCTCCCTCTCAGCCCTAGGATTCTCAATAGGTTGTTTATATGAGGAGAGAGTGCAACATGTGTTGTGTTGAGCTCATAAATAACAGGAAGAATATAATTACTATAAATAAATAAATAAATAAATAAATAAATAAATGCCATTGTTCTATCTATATAATCTGCCCAGAAGTACCTTGAGGTAAGATGAATGCCCTATAAATTTTATAAATAAATACTCTACTAAAACTGTCATTGTCATGATCTTTAACTAGGTGAAAAGATGCATCACAGGACCATACATTTTGATTCAAAATACTTCATATGCGCTAACTTACACAATGCATGCAAAAACTAAGACCCATGGCTCCTTGTTCACAAATCACAAGCATCTCTTTCTTGTGTTTGTCCGCTCTATTAAAGTGTGGAGTGGATATTCATCCTAACACTCCATTAATTAAGGAGATCCTTGGAGTTCTCTGTGCTTGATTATTTCCTTGCAAACATTTCATTACACAACTAGGTAACAACATCAATATTTGTGGTGTGGGGTTTGTTCCCTGTTTACATACATAACTTGCCCTGGCAATATTGGTTGTGATTTTCTTGTTGGTACTTACTTGATTATGGTATTGTTTTCTGCTTGATTTTTTTTATCTGATATTTATCCCTGCTTATCTGGGTATAGTCTGCTTTTTACTCCTTCTATTATTTGTTTTGAATGACGTGTAAATGTGATTTGTCTCTATATATCTGTTAGTGACTGATTTGTCTAAATGCCAAGGTTCCAGGAATTCCCTATTTTTTTGGATGTAGTCTGGTCTAGAATGTTTCCAGAAGAAACTATGGTTGAAACTGTCCATGAGTTGTAAGATTAAGGAGTTTTCATCATGTCTTTTGATTGCAAGTTTGTGTTCATGAATGTGCTTTGCTAATCCTCTGCTTGTCTAGCCTGCAAAGTAGCTGTTACAGGTCTTTCTATTATATGTTGTAGACTCGTGTTTTTCTTCTTTTTGTGTTACTGTGTTTGATAGAGAACTCATACTAATTTGTGATAGACAACCCGCACTACCCCAGAACTCAATTACCAAAATAAAAATCCAATCTCCCACAAGAAGATCTATGCAAAAACATTATTCAGATGAGTACAAATGTACTTCAGCAACACAGAACAACACAACATAAGACAGAAAAAAAAGAGACCATCTATTTAATATCTTCTAAAAAATGTATATCCATGCAACTTAATTAAAAAGTGCCTGACCAATTAATCCACTACAGCACAACCAACACAAGCTATGAAAAGCATAATACTGTCATACATCAAAAACATATCAAAAATAACCGATAATTACAATCACACATCATCACTGGAGAATACAAACAAAATAAAGTCTTCCAAAACATCTTAAAAGACCTAGTAGCCCAAGAAAAAAAAATAGGAGTCATCTACAACATACAGTGTAAGGACTGTTACAACTACTATATGGACAGACTGGCAGAAGACTTAACAGGATGCATCCATGAACACTAACTAGCAATCCAAAGATACAATGAAAACTTCTTATTTAGGGATCCTACACTCAAATAAGCAGGGATTAATACCAGCCAAACAATCAAGCAGAAAACAATACCCTAATCAAGGAACTGCCAAGGAGAAAATTACACTCCCATCAATACTGTCAGAACAAACTACTATATATAATTTCACAGTCATTGGCATTGATGATGTTGGATAGTGAAACGTCTGTAAGCAAACAACCAAACTCAGAGAATACCAAGGACTCCACAGTTTGTGCTGTAAAATGCTATAAGTAATATGGCTGTGCTGCTTAATAAGCATTCACTTTTAACTAAAATAAATAAGTAATTCAACAGATGGTAACCCAAATTTCAATAGAATCTCATAACATGTTTGCAACTTTGCATTTAGTAGAGTTTCTTCCATCTACAATGTAATGGAGTTTCTTCCATCTACAATTGAGATGGAGTCTCCAGATTGCTATACATCCTCACAACTTTTTCTGGAGAGTCCTCAAACTTCCAAACTACTTGTTGAGAACAAGCAGGATTCTACTGGGTGGAGGAAAGGAGGAGACAATCAAAAATAGCAGAAATGTACTAACGCAACATTGGATATCATTGTATATATCTGGCTGAGTTTTTACAACACTTGCAAGAAATGAGACAGGAAACAGGAGACACTTTCACAATACTGCTGGAAGTAGCATGAGATCTTCATCTTAACATCCTTCAGAACTTAGGAATTTAACAGTTAGATATCTTCTTATGAGCTGTTTTTATTTCAGAAACAACACAGAGCACTTTAGAACCAATCAGTGGTCACAAAAAGAGAGTTAAGCACAGAAAGAAATAGATCAAATGAATAATCAAAAATTGTTTCAATCAACCTGGCTGTAAGTCCCATCATCGTTGCATTCTGGGATGAATACTTGCTGGAACTCCTTGCGTGCTTGTTCTTGGGTATATTTCCTCTCTGCCACACATCGTGAAACATCTGAAGAAATGAGATGAAATATTAATCCCTGCGCAAATGGGTATATCACAAAATTTGCCTTTGTTGCAGCCCCAGTTTGCTGTTTATACTGGCTTCCCATGCTTAGTTGAAAGCTATGAATGAACAGAGCTGAAAAATAAAGTGACAGCCACTCACAATATCTTTTATTTCCAAGCATGCCCCATTTACCACAAAAGTCATTCTTTAAAAATAAAGGCATCTGTTGAAGCTCCAGTGCTTTATTTGGAAACCTGTCAAGAAAAAAAAAACCTGGACCCTGGACAATTAGAAGAATGGTGGGAAGCAAACTCACACTATCATAGACTCTTGGCAACAAGCTCATAATGTTTTCGTAAACTTTAAAATGTGCCTATTGGTTCAGAAACATCTATTGTGAATGTTACTGGAATTAAACACTTTGTTCTAAGTCAAACAAAAACATTTGTTTAAGTACAAAGTAGAGCTCAGAGGACTTTACATTCATGTAACATTCATTTTACATTCTATAATCAATGGATGATTATAGAAACGTGATATGGACGCTGGGCCAAGTTCCTAATTCAATTTCCATGTGTAGCTCAACTTAATTGGTATTCTAACAACTTGAACTTGTTTTCATAATGTCATCAGAAGAAAGCAGAGGAATAAACACAAAGGAATCTTAAAAAGTTTTGTTTTAGAAGAGCCATTTTTGAAAAGTCCTTAAAAGCGTCCCCTCAGAGAGCCCTCCTTCCAATTGACTTATTCACATAGGAAACACAGATCTGACCTAACTTTGTCAAGATCATCATCTATAGCGGTGATGGCTAACATTTTCGGCACTGGGTGCTGAAACTGGAGCACATGTGCATGTGCCGGAGCGCTAGAACCTGGAAGAGAGCAGCTGGCTGGTGTGCATGCGCATGGCGGCCAGCTGCTCTTCCGGCACGCTGGAACCCGGAAGAGCAGCTGGCTGCCGCGCTAAGGCCTGTTATTTCAGAGCTTGTAGCATCGGTCAGTTAGAAAGCTAATTAATACTGAAGTCTAAATTATATTCAGGCACGTCTTCTTGTGCACATAATGCCCTAAAATGCCATCCACATTACTGCCAGTGTAAGGAAATGCGCATGACGGAACCTGGAACAGCAGCTGGCAATGGCGCGCATGCCCACATAGAGGGCTGTGTGTTCCACCTCTGGCACCCATAGTCTCTACACTCTCTATTATCAGCAGCATTCTGAGCTCTGACTCAAAGGAGCATTGGGGGATTTTGGGGAGGATGTTTTTTTTCAGGAGTCCCTAGCCTTATCTGGTCCTTTTTAAAACTTGTTATTTCCTTTGCCAGCTTCTCCCACTATACTACACATAATTTATTTCTAATATTTCACTGTGTTGGAAAGAATAAAAATGAACATTTAATGACAAATTTCTGCTATTCAAAAATCTGTGCTTCCTGGTTGCATTAGAAATGCCTCTTGAAATTTGAAAGAGAAAAACATCTCCCAAACAAGGAATTCTTTAGAACACATTCCATAATCGGCTTTGTTTTTGCTGTATATCAGAGAAGTCTTCCATTCACACCCAAAACTCTTCCTGTAGTCAATCTATGACTATACTATGGTTGTTAACAGCTAATATTATTTTAAAAATAAAGTGCAATGGTCAGCACAGCTTTTGCACCATATGCCTTAGCCTAAACTCATATGTTTGCTCATGTGCTACTTACAGACATGTGGTTTTAATGAAGCAAGTGTTTTAACTGAAAATAAATCTCTCTTTCAGTGGACTTCTGTCTTCATTTTTACTGCAGATGTGGTTTAAATGTCAAAAGGAAAAGCAATCTAAATTCCAACACAGGAGGGTTATGATTATACATTTGCTCAGGAGCAAATTCCACTAAAATGCATTGGGATCTATTCTTCCATAGGATATAAAATGGATTGCACCAAAGATTTAGTGCTGATAGAATTATAAGATGTTCTTCTATATGAATTATCACCAAAGGAAGACAGCTTTCCTCTTTACAGTATATCTAATATTTAGAGTGTATAAAAATCTAGATGTAACTCCAAGCTCTCTTATATGATTTCTGAAATTGCTGAAACAATACATCTAACAGAATAGAAATACTGGTGTTCTAAAACTAGGATTAGCAAAACATCGACAATGTTTGGTCAATTTAGGCAAATGGTTTTGAAATGCAGGTGTTTATTGACAAAAGAAAAATAAAACAATTTTTAACTGAAAATATTCTCTAATATTGCATTGGATTCAGTTAGATTCTAGGTTCTGAATATGATCCATCATATAAATATAATGAAGTAAAACACAATGAAATAAAACACAATGAAGTAACCAAGTTCTCTTGGTTAAGTTAAACCAGCTGATACAATAATTATCTAAACCATATGCCATGATGGCACAGTGGTTAGAATGTAGTATCATTGGCTGACTCTGCTGACTGTCAGCAGTTCAATCCTGATTGGCTTAAGGTTGACTCAGCTTTCCACCCTTTGAGGTTGGGAAAATGAAAATGCAGATTGTTGGGGGTAACATGCTGACTTTGTAAATCACTTAGAGAGGACTGTAAAGTGCTAGAAACTGATATACAAGTCTAAATGCTATTGCTATTCATCAATGCCTAGACAGAATGATATCAAGATGCTGAATTGTGCATTGTGACATTAAGGTATAAGCTTCATCCTTTCAAACATACATCACAATGTTGCATACAAGTCAATAGTGGATGGAATCTGCATCACAATCTCACAATGCGTTCTTAAGACTGCCAATTTAACAATCAAGAAACTGATAGCTTTTTTAATGCTTCCACTAAAGTCAAAAAATATTCAGCTGCGAAGATGATAGCAAGATACTCACTAAGATCACATTAGGGCCGTGATGGTGAACCTATGGCATGAGTGCCAGAGGTGGCATGCAGCGCCCTCTCTGTGGGCACAGGAGCTATCACCCCAATTCAACTCTGCCGTGCATGTGTGTGCCTCCTGCTGGCCAGCTGGTCTTCAGATCTTTGCCGTGCATACAGGGGGACATGCAGGGGAGCTGTGCGCACATGTGTGATGACAGGGCACATGCGGAGGGAAGATGTGCATGTGCGGGGGCAGGGCATTGCAGGGGGCATGCACGCATGTGCTGGGGATGAAGCGTGTGTGGGGTCCTCTGCGTGCATATGTGAGGGGTGGGGTGCATGCTGAGGGCACAGTGGGCAATGCATTTTGGGGGTTCAGACGTGTGCATGCGCTTTGGCCACTCGATCCGGAAAAGGTTAGCCATCACTGCATTAGGGTATGCTATATTAACCAGGTGTTCACCATTTTTTTTTTACCTTATAGCTTTGAGTACTGGAAGTCCTTGATTTAAAACCATTCATTTAGTGTCCATTTGAATTTACAATGGCACTGAAAAAAGTGACTTGTGATCACTTTTCACATGACCATTGCAGCTTCCCCATGGTCACACAATCAAAATTAGGGCACTTGGCAACTGGCATGTATTTATGACGGTTGCACTCTCCTACAGTCATGAGATTATCATTTGTAACCTTCCCAGCCAGCTTCTGACAAGCAAAGACAACGGGGGAAGCCAGTTTCACTTCACAATCTTGTGATTCGGATAACAACGGCAATGATTTGGTTAACAATTGTGGTAAATACGGCCATAAAATGGGGCAAAACTCACTTGAAAACTGCCTTGCTTTGCAATGGAAATTTTGGGTTCAGTTGTGGTCAGAAGTCAAGGACTACCTGTATTAGTTTTCAATCTTCAAGTAGTGTCAATTTTTTTTTTTTTGTCCTAGTCTGGCTAACAGTGGTTAATCGAGGTTAATACATTTAGGAAAATAAGCCAGCTTCAAAGTCACGGTATCTTGATGCTTATTTCTCAAAACTGTAATTGTACTTTTCACTTTCTTTTTAATAATATACTCAGCTGACAATAAACTAATCTCACCAATTCTGTACATCGTAAGAATAAAATAAATCCAGCTGCATTGATTTCTTGCTCATAATTTAGCATCAGAATATTAGGCAGCAGAATGGGTGTAGGGATATGAAATTATAGTTGATTTCTGAACAGATATATGGGTGAGACTATCAAGATTTATTCAGGGGAATGGAAGACTCCCATGTTGTTTTGTTCTTGCACAAACAGGCCAGGAAATCATGTTGTAGCTTAGTTTTATAGGCTAGTTTGATGTTAGATATTTAACCCAGAGAATGTAAAATCAGAAATATGTCTTTTAAACATCCTCATTTAATCACAAGAAAATAACCACATGCTGTGTGACTAAATTAATTTCAGTGGGGCATTGTAAAAATACTGCATTGTAAAGAAATTCCATAGCATAATCATGTACAAAATTATCCCGTTTGTTCAGCTATTTATTTGATTAATGTCGTATAATCATACGGTATATGACATTAATTTAACAAATCAAAACAACATTTATCATTCAAGAAAAGCTATTTAGAAAATAGTCAATATGGAATGTTTGAAGCAAAATATCTCCTAAGGCAAGACACAGATGCTTAACTGCTCTTGAACCAAACACACAGAATTTATTTAAATCCACAAACCTTTTGAACAGATGGTACTAATCTGAAACATACAATCAGTTCACACAATTTGGACAATTCTGGGTTTCCTGCCTTTCCCTCACCTCCATGACTCTTTCCATTTCTCTCTCTTACATCTTCAGAATAATATTACTCAGACTCCCTCGCCTCTATCCTGTGGCTGTTATCTATACGTAGTAAGACTCTTATAGTTCCTCTCCACATCAAAAACCTGGAAGCTGTTAAACTGGTGTTACTTTTTTTTTTTTTAGAGATGATTACTAGATTTTAAGAGTTTTTTTGTTTTTTGTTTTTCTACAAAGCCGTTTGTCTACTAAATTAATTTAAAAATGAAATCCCAACTAACAAATTCAGTGGCTTGAGGGGGGTTAAGATAAGACACATTTAAAAAAAAACTTGTTAAATTTACACACTTTTCTGCTTATA